TCGAGCGGGGCGCCTCTGCTGCAGCAGCTCCGCTGGCCGCGGCGAATGATCCTCAACACGTCAGCGGCCGCCGCCACGCCTCGCCACGCCTCGCCGATTGGTTGCATTCCGCCTGGCCGCGACCCAACTAACTTAGTCTGGCCTGGAGCGTCCCGGAGGCCGGCCGGCCGGCCGGATCAGCTGGGCGCCCGGCCGGTAGGCAGGCCCGGCGCGCACGCGCGCGTGACGGTGCTGCCTGCGCGCCGGGCGCCCCGACCGCCTCGCCGCCGACCCGACCCCACCGGGCCGGCTGACCAACCAAACCGGCGGATGCACGATCATAAACGCACTTCCTCCTCTACTCGCTCACTTCCGAACTACTTCTAGAGACCCGTCTAGCCGCCGGCCCTCCCCCACCTCTTTCCGTTCCAGCCGTGTGGTCTGGACCTAATTCCTCATCGTTACAATTATTTGCCCCACTATAACTGTATACGCACGCCGCCGCCGCCCTGTACGCACACTTATTGCGCCTGCACGATGTGCGCACGCTCAAGAAGGGCGTATTATATGCAGGCCTCGCCACCTAATGGGTGGTTAACGGGCGCCCAGTGCTCGGTAGCGCACGCCGCCCCGCCCATGCACTCATGCTGCGCTTCCTCCTTTATATTCGGGGCCCTTTGCTATGGCCCGCCTCTCTCTGTCTCTCTCTCTGTCTCTCTCTCTGTCTATCTCTCTGTCTCTCTCCCTCTCCGTGTGTGTCTCTTTCTGTCTCTCTCCGTGTGCGTCTCTCTCTGTCTCTCTCCCGCGACGGCGGGAAACATGGTGATGATTGTTGCTCACGGTTCGCGGCTCCCCGTCGGACGTCATCGTACACCCTCCTCCTCTTGCTCTTGCTTGCCCCTCGCGTACCGAACAAAAAGGCGGGGAGGGGAAGGAGACGGCCGGCATGCGAGAGCGACAGAGAGCACGTGATGCTCCGACCGAGCACAAGCCCCCTGCTTACTCTCATTTTCTGTCGTGGTCGGCCCGCACCGCCCGCCCCGCGCGGCTGAGTGAATCGCTGCCGGACGACGTCTAATGATCGGTTTGGTGTTCAGGTGGCTCGACTCGCCCGGCTGAGGGCAGTGCCCCCTGTGCCGCTGGGTGCCGCGGGCGCCGAGCTCCATCATCCCCGCGGCCACCACGGCCTCGGCCACGTGCACGGCCGCGGCCGCAGCGACACGTAGAGCACCCCGAGAGGTGCGCGGCCGCGGCGCCGAGCCCCATCCCCGCGGCCTGCCCGGCCTCGGCCACGAGCACGGCAGCCACCGCAGCGGCACGTAGAGCACACCGAGAGGTGCGTGGCCGCGGCGCGGCGCCGGGGTACGATGTGGGGAGGGGGGCACGGGACGGTGGCGCCGGACGCCCCCAAACATTATGCAGATTATGATAATAGAGATTATGATAATCTGATTTTCGCTCAGCAAGAATATAGTGCTCAGTGCTTCGCCCCCGCCTCGCGCGTGTGGTCTTTACTTGACAGGTCTGTCCAACAGCGGCACGGTGCCAAAAATAAAAGAATGACGAGGAAAAAAACACCTAATTGACGTGTACGTGTAGAGGCTCCCGGCCGCCAACACGTTAGCGGAGAGGGGGAAGGGGCTTTAGAACACTGGTAACGCAGCCCACAGCTCGGAGCCATTCAGAGGAGTGCTAAACAATTTAATGCCTCCTAAGGACACTAAAACCCTTTAGTGTGCCACCACGGGGCGCCGTCGCAACGCGAGGGGTCTTCCAGAACTGGTTTAGTAAGGTTTTTTTTACCTTGTCATCAAAGTATCGTTGTGTTCCTCCAAAACACGGGCGCGTACAACACACAGACGCGCAGGTCAGCAAAAAGAAGACGGATAAAGTAATCACAACCCATGATTTTAGCGAAAGCAAATAACAACACGTGGGAAGGGGAGGGGACGGGATAGGTCGGGTCGGTGATGGGCTGAGGATGTGTGCTGCCTGCTGCCCGGTGCGGCGTGCGGCCAGGCCTGTCTTTGCCCTCACTGACCCAAGCGTAGTCGAAATGCGATTCGACTACTGGGCTCACTACAGTCCAGTTCGCCACGATGCTCAACTATCTAGGTCGCGGGCTGAGTACCCACCAATAAGAACATCTCATCGACGTCCATCAGTGTCCTGCCGGACTTGTCTAATTTAGTTTGGGAACGTTGCGAACAGTCAACAACAGTCTACTTCCTGGCGTCGGCCCGTCCCCCGGCCGCAGACACCCTCAGGCAAGTTAACTCCTCTATTTGTTTTTGCAGCACTAAAAAGTAGGACAAATGCTAGAAAATATCCTGCCAACGAAATTGTGCTTCTCAACATGCTACCTGTATCATATCGGAGTTTTACTTCTTAATTTTTCTGTTTTATAGTTAACAAACTATCTCCGAATTTTTAAAATATTTTCGTTAGAAAATATCAAGTTAGCCGGCATCCGGGCTCGAGCAGCCCTTTCTTCGTGAGAAAACTATCCTAGTGGCTGCTGCCCTGCCACCCGTCATGTGATCCTGCGCGACACACGGCGCGTTCCAGCCGTAAACTAGTCTCGTGTGCACCGCGCACCGCCAGCAAGTGTCCTGCCCGGCGAGGCCGACCGGGCGACAAACAGTTCCAACGCAGTTCCCGCCCAGCTCTTAACTTCCCTCCTTTCCATACTTTAATATTCCGGGGTCCGGCTCATCAGGGTGGGACCCGGACGGGGCACGGGCACGGGCGAGGCTGCCAACGGATCGCGCCAAAAAGTACTCCGGCCCGTTTTGCATTGTTCCCGCATTCTGCTGTCGCCCCCAATAATCTGCGTGTGGCGCGGCGCCAACGTCGCATCGGATCGCCCTGCCCTGCCCCGCCACACCCCGCCTCG